GGGTGGTTGTGTTGGAAGGCTGGAGGTTGGGGATGGTTTGGAGAGATGCGTTGGCAGATAGTGCAGGAGCAGTGCTGGTTGCGAATTGGACAGACCACAGCTCGTTCCGCCGTGAAACATGAGAGTTCCGCTTGCAGCTTGCTGCTGGGGGAACATGCTTTTTGTGATTTACAGTGCAAAGTATCCTGCAGTGTCCTGCAGTGCAAAGTGTGTTGTTTTGTACGGTGAACATCTTTAGCATGTTATACTCTAAATCAACATTTAGGAGACGGAGTGCACTGACTTCATAATCGTTGGGGGCTTCATAGTCGTTGGGTTTGACTTTAGACCTTCGCTCCCTGGCGACGTCACTGCTTGAAATGGTTTTGTGCATAGGGAAGAGCATGGCAGACCATAGTGGTCTGAATGGCATGCGATCCATGCGGTTCTGGGCTCATAGCAGGGCTGCAGGGCTGGGTGTCCTCAGCAATCTCAGGCTGAGTGGGGCAAGATGAAGAAGCTGTAGACCCGATGCTTTTTCTTGGTTGGATAAACATATATCTTAGCATGCATCATTTTCCCATGCATTGAAACGGTTACAACATATATAAGATGTTGGTGGGCTAATCCAGCTTGTGCCCACCTGGATTGACACATCCAGCATGTTGTTGGACAAGAGGTATAAGAAACGTCCAGATTAGTTTTGGCAGGTCCGTCTCAGCTGAGAAGACAATTAGAAGGGTGAGAGTATTCAGTGCTAATTTTAAGACGTCAGTCTTGAGACTGGCACTTTCTTGGCGCATGAAACTTACTACTAGGAGCAAGGACGCTACTAGTAACTCTTCGAATGGGCTTTGACGTGGTCTTTGACTCTTTATCCACTTCGTGAGCCCGCGAGTTTCGTACAGGCTCGACACGAGTTTGCCAAGCTCGTGAACCCAGCTCCGAGAATCGCCCAAGTTCTGTCTCTTTCGCATCATGACACCATTTTTGGAAGGTCCTAAGATGTCCTAAGTACATCTAAGTACTCATTGTCTCATTTTTGTGCCAACCTGAAGACAACTTTCAGGCTGTTTGCCCGTGTTCGCCCGGTCTGAAGACCAGGGTCCTTATTTGCGCAAGCTTGCTGACCGAGGCACAGACGTCCAAATCCATTTGATTTCGGGGTGGGTGGCTTGGTACATGTCCACAACTTCACAATTGCTCCTGGCAGAAGTTTTCATGGAATGACAAGTAAGACACTCAAAGCGCTTCTGGTTAAAGAATAAGATTCCCTGAGGCACATGGCATGGCCTGGCAAAAAGCATTGCTGCTGGCCATACTTCTAGGTTTGCGGGGTTTTCTCAAGAAACTTAATGACCTTAGACATTAGAGACCTTTCTAGGTTGTAGCTATGTTGAAAAGAGTGTGACTTGTGTAAATGGAAACGACCTGCGATTGAGTGTCTAACGATGTCCAGCGCGTAGATGTGCATGTCGGTGGATGGATGGCCAACTTCCAGATGAATCAGATTGCAACCATGGTTAGTTGGAAATGAAATGGTATGGCTCTGGTTTTTTGTTGCTCTCCTTCACTATACACTAGTAGATAGTTCCGACGGGTTTGGACTGCCGCAGAATCCATTCGGGCCATTCGAGAGAGCGTGGAGATCAGTGAAGAGGTGCGTCCCCGCTTTGCTTCTGCTCCGATTTCGATTCCCACCGAAGATGTTCTTTTGAACGAAGCATTGCAGGTAGAAAAACCCGGCATCACATCCAGTTGCTAAATGTATTCTCGCTTTATTGTCGGGGGTAGCAGTAGCAAGCATATGCAAGCATATGCAAGCATACAAGAATTCTTGTTTACTTACTTTCCACCTATTCGGTTGGAGGCCATTGCTATTGGAAATTCTCGACAGCTTGGCAAATCTTCGCTTCCCTATGACATCCGTGCAGGTGAGACGTTCTGTCAGGCTAGCAGGCGCGGATGGAGCGAAAGAAAGGAGGCTGAAACGAGGTGAACAAAGACCTATTTCATTATAAGTGAGGCAAATTTCATGTCTGTGCCACAGCAGAGTTGAACAAAGACCCTGCACAGTTATTTGAGAACGTTTGATCCAATTTGATTTAGAAAACAGTTGCATATGCACTCGCTTTTGGGCGCTTCTGAGAACTGATTCATTATTTTCTAGAGGTGGAAACAGGAACCGCGTGCTGCGTGTTACAAAGAACTGCTGTAATGGCTTCGTGTGGCTTCGCTTGCGGGCTCCAGCTTCGCGGGGCGGCATGGCGAACCCCAAGGGCCATTTGCCAGGATGTATGTGCAAGGCTGGGAGCACCGACAGACAGGTGACGACAGGTACGTAAAATCCTTGGATCAAAGAGATGGTGGAAGGGTCGAAAAATCAGAGGCGCTTCACCGGCGGTTAGGCTTGCAAGACTTGGGAAAATTGGATTCGACAATTTGACAGTGTTGCGTTGCAAGTTCAGCTCTCAAGCATTCTTCGTGACACTTTATGGCTATACTTTGGGTCTGTCCTATTAACAGTAAGTAAACAATGATTACTATGTTTGAACAAGGCCTTTACTAACCATAATCATCCACTGTTACAGGTATTAGGATAGACCCAAGCGATACTCTTTGCAGGATTGCCGGGCAGGTGTCTTGGCCAGAACTTCCTCCAAAGCGCTACAGGTTCATTGCATGTTGTTGACGAGTATGGTGTGCTTTCGCACGATGTTGACAACATGCTGCTCCATGTGGGTTGGTCCAACAGTGGGGGTTGGTAAAGCGGGTTCACATTGAAGCTTTGATACATGCTTGGGCATGTCACCATGACAAAGACAATCCATGTGGAAATTTAGATATATTTAGAGTAAAATCAGTTGTGATCCTCGGAGCTTCGCAAGTACATTTAGTCTTTCTCCAGTCAGACTGCTCAAGCTGACACTGAGGAACGCTAGAAGCAGCAGCTGGCTTCCTCGCTAGTGGTGGTTTTCCTGGGGCCTGCGGGGGCTATGGCGACAGCGGAGCTGGCTGCGGCTGCGGGGCCAGCGGTGCTTGCGGTGCTTCCAGCAGCTGCGGCGGCTGCAGTGGCGGCAGCGGCGGCTGTGGCGGCTGTGCAAGTTGGCCTGGCTGTTCAGGTGGTGGCGCAAGCAGCTCTGCTGGACCCAAGGTAGTGAAGAATCATTTGCCAGGGCCGCTTGGATGACGACTAACCTCAACAACTGCAGCTTGAAGATAGCATGGTTTTTCATGAGATCATGATTAGGTCATAATGTTTCTTCTGAAACTCACTAGATTCTCTTGCCCAGATTTGTTTCTCTACAGCTTGGAGTTCATGCGTGGCCAGTCCTTTTGTTCTTTTTGACACTGGGCATGAAGCCGCACGAAGCACAATAGCACCACCAGAAATTGAAATCCCACTTGTTTTGCATATATTGCACTCTCGTCAGGATCTCAGTGGAGGCGGAGGCCATTCCTATTAGGTTGAAAGCCATTGTTTGAAATTCATGTCCTTTCATGGTCCTATTGCAGTGTTTTTCTCCCAGTAGCTTCTTGCTCCTAGTAGTAAGGCCAGGAGCCCCTAGTAGCGATGCCCTTGCTCCTAGTAGCGGCAGGTGCATCTGCAAAGATTGCAGAAATCGCCCGGAGAACTCCATGGATGCCATGAGCGCAGCCCTGGGGATGCCGTGTGGCCCCTGTGGCCCTGCCCAAGCTGCGAAGCTCGCGGCCACGGCCCCCCGGTGTGCGAAGAGTGCGCCATTCAAAACCGAAATGACAAGAGACCGAAGGAAGAGTCGGAAGAGTGTGCTTTTTAGAGGAAAAAACATGGACAAACACCTACAAAGATCATAAAAGCACAATGTCTTTCTAATGGATGATAAAAGCTTCTTTCAGAAGATCTTCTACTAGCTTCTTGTTACTACTAGTAAGGCACTTGTTACTAGTGGCGATGCACTTGTTCCTAGTAGCGATGCACTTGTTCCTAGTAGCGAACATTGTTTCTTTATAGATGTTTACGATTGCATAAAAGCGCGGAGCCCTTGATGTCCTCCAACCTAATATAAACTATATAAATGCAATCCTGGAGGGTTGGTCGTTTTTGCCCTGTGCTTACAGACTCTTCTTCCTTCATGCTCTTACTTTGACCACAGGTGTACGATGTGAGATTTGCCAGTATTTGCACCCAGCTGTGGAGTAGCAGTAGCCTCTTTTGATCTGTCAAGACTTTGCTTTGGATTTGCTTGGACAAACTTGGAGCTTTGTGCCCTTTTCGATCGCTGTCAATATTATGGATCGGATCATGACGATTGCAACCTCACTTAGGTGGCGTCTGACTGGTGGGCCGAGGGCAACTGGTGGGATGATTGGTGGGATGACGGCAGCTGGTGGGCAGGCGAGACAGCCTTTCGTGGCCAGACACGATGCCTTCGTTGAAACGAATTGCCACGAACGAGCCGAGCGCGAGCGCACGAGGTTGGGATGATGGCAGTTGGTGGGGTCCTCAAGGCTGGGAGTTGTCACCTGCATTTCGGTTTGGATCCGACTAGACTGGGATCCAGCGAGGCCTTCATGACGGAGCTTGTCTCCGGGTGGTTCTTTGATTTGATGCTCACCTTTCTTATCCTTTGGTTGGACATTCCAGAAAGTTCCCAACTTGCTGTAAATCCGGAGCATTTGGGGCAGTATTTGTTCAGAGAGTCTCTTCTTTGCCACCGGTGCGTTTTAAGGCTCTTTGTTTGGTGGCCGAAAAGAGGCCTTTCATTTGGTTGGTCAAACCTTGACACAGTCCTCGACCAGGCACAGAGGGCACAGCACTTCTGTCGAGAATACTATGCTATGCCATATATAGTAGTGGTGGCAGTGGTAGCGGTTGGCAAAACGACTGAGATTGATGTGGATCAAGAGACGGAACAATTCTCAGATGCCAGGAAACCCCATGGATGCCTCTATGGGCAACCCCATGGGCAACCCCATGGGCAACCCCATGGGCAACCCCATGGGC